TATGGTTATTCATTATCAGTCTAATAAGACAGATGTGGTGGCAGAGGCTTTGAAATGTATATTTTAGTGGCTTGGACTGAAAAAGAATATATCAGAGTTCTTTTTGAAGTATGAGGCCTATTAGTTGGTGAAGGCAGAGCATCAATGACTGGGCAGTCTTTTGTAGTCATTATATATTTCAGAATGGAAATGGGAAGAGGTGATGATAGATTTTGCGATCATATTCTTTAGTATGAGACAAGGGCATGATATTATACAGGTTGCCACCAATCGACTAACAAAGTATGTGCATTTCATTCAACATACTGTTTCAATAGACATATTGGTATAGATTATATTTAGAGACATTATCATATTACATAGAGTGCTGAAAGTGATTGTATCTAATCATGATAGCTAGTTTACCTCTAGGTTATGGAGAAGCATTCAGCAGGATATGGGTGCCAAATTACACTTAATTATGACATCCTCAGATAGATGGACAGTCTGAGAGGGCTATCAAAGTACTAGAGGATCTTCTGAGACTCTATATTATGTATTTTGGGGGTATTAAGAAGATTACATTCCACTTAAAATTTGCTTATAATAATAGTTATCAATACATCAAAGGTATAACCTCTTATGAGGCTCTATACGGTAAAAAGTGTAGGACACCTTTATCTTTGAGAAAGGTGGGGAATAAACATATGTTAGGGCCATCATTGGTGGACAACGCTACAATAAAGAGTTTTCTTATCAGAGAAAGATTAAAGTCTGCACATGTTAGGCATAAGAAATATTATTCATAGGCATATACTTGTTAAGTTTCAGGTTGGGGATTTTGTTTATGTTAAAGTCAATCATATGAAGGTTGTCAGTAGATTTAGAAGAATCAATAAGATGAGTCCAAGTTACATTGGACTTTTTATGTTAGCGAGTGGATTGATAGTTTATTTATAGGTTATTATTGTATGATCATATGTTCGACATAAACAATATTTTTCATGTGTTTTCTCTAAGGAATTGGGTATCTAATTCTAAGAGTATACTTTTTTCTAATGTTGTGGTACATATGAATATACACTACAAGGAAGAACCAGATAAAATTCTGGCATACGATGTCAGGAAATTGAGGGGCAAACAGATTTTGGTGGTAAAAGTTCAGTGGAAGAACATGATCGCTAGAGAACCAACTTAGGAGAAGAAATTTGAGATGAGATAACTATATCCTGGTCTATTCTAATTTATTTTGGATTGAAAATATCGAGGATAATATTTTTTGAGAGGAGAGTTGTGAGACCTCAAGGATCAGAGTATTGTTTGACCTGTTATGACCCAAATAGACTTAAGGTAATATGTTAAAATTTCTACGTTCGACCTCTTCTGCATGTATTTGAGGATATTTTGTATGTATGTAAAAGTCTGATGTATTCTTAAGTGGGTTCCAGGGGTCTATTTACATGTTATGTGAATTTCGAGTGTTTTCCCATGAGCATCATGACACAAGGTATGATGGCATCTCGACATTGAAATCTTTGGATTTTGGAAATTTGAACTAGCACGGTTGTCTTGGGAAGGCGCTGCAGCACTATGGGCTTTTTAAAGAAGCTTAGTATCAGGCGTCAAAGGGCACCGTAACACTAGGCCACATTTTTTTAATAAAATTAATTTTCCACTATTCCATTTGACTTGTTTCATTTGAGTGGTTGCCTAGAGAGAAGAGAGATTTATAAAGAAGGAAAGTTTGTTTCGAGCAACTTCCGGTCATTTTCAATTGTTGACCCAGTTTGAAAAGTTGCTGGGGTCGAGTTAGGTTATATTTTGCCTACTCAATTTTCAAAAATTCAAAGTTTTTTAGATTTTTTTTCCCAAATTTATAACTTGGTTTTACAAAGATTTGGTATTCTCAGATTATGGAAAATTTCTACCTCATAACTTTTGATATGTTGTCGGTATAATTATTCTAGTCATTTTCAGTATTTATTTATAATTTTCTGTAGGGTAATTTCGAAAAGTAGTGATATTTATCAATTCAAAAAAAAAAAATTACATCTAAAAATAATATTTTAGTTTAGTTAAAACTTCATAATGTTGTTATACACAATCTCTAGTAATATGATAAAATTCTGAAAAAATGGTAGTTTTGGCAAACTATTGAACAACAGGTGGAAAATTATTTTGACAGCCATTAGAGCATTTTTATATAATTATTTAATAATACATAATTTGCTTCAATAGTGTAAAATGCACTATATTCTCAATATTTATGTTTGAATTCTGTGAAAAGAACTTCTGTTGGAGGAGACAATGGATTATGTTGTTCATTATGTATTGAAAGTTTTGGAGCATGAGGGCTATTTTGATAATTATTAAAAAAGAATTCTATTAACGATGATAAATGATTTTGTATTAATTGTGTTAGAAATCAAGGCTTGAAGGCCATTCTGATATTTACTATGAATTGCTTGGTCAAATTCCGATTGGGTTCAATATAGTTTCAATACTTTGTTTTAATACTTATTTCAATTCAGGATAAATGTTTGTTTTAGTGTATGCTTTTCATACAACACTTTTGTTTATTATTTCAGTATTATTCAACTGTATCGGTTTGATTTCTTGATTCCAATTTTAGGTTGTCGTAGTCTGTTGAGTTGTGGGTTGGCTCATTCCTGTTTTTGACTCTATTTTTAGGCCAGAGAAAGGGGAAGAAGCGAGCCAAGTAGTTTATGATATCAGGCTCTGATCTGGATTGTAGGTATGCATTTTGGTTAGTTTTTATTGGCAAGCTAAGTTTTTTTTTTCCTCAAGTGCTATTGTTGATAAACCTCATATTATATATGTACTTTTGGATGATATATATAAAGAAAAGATTTTTTTTGAGAAATTCAGTAGTCCTCCAATTAACATTTGTATTCAGTAGTGGCTTTGTATAGTACATGAACTGGATGTTTCAGTTCCTCAGCATTTCTCCAACTGAAGCTTGGGGGTCAGTTTTCACTTCTTCACACAATCAGGCACGATATGAAATTTGGATTTGGGTCCGATCGTATCAAGTCAGGTCATGACACCAACAAGTATTTAGTCCAATGAAGCTCGCCCCATAGAGACGCATTTACTAAACAAGTTTGACTAGAAAACTCATATCAATAAATCTTTACTAAACTCTTTTAGTAGTTCTTCCTAGTTAAGGTCATCTGCCTTCCATGAATATACCCATACACACCTACAAACCTTATAATCTTGTCCTCTTAATTACGTTCATCCCTAGCTCATAGCCACACCTGCTTAGAAGACTCATCACTCGCCCCGAGAGACTTGCCACTTGTCTTAGGTACTTTTCTTCATTGACACCTAAGATGCTCTTCCTGGATGACCCATCTAAGGCAATCACCCCCCTAAAGATTCACCCCAAGGTACTTGGTCCAAGGACTCGCTACCCCCATAGGGCACTTGTTAATGACATTCCAAGCCACATTAGAGACAAATGGCCACATGTGTACCATTCAACCTGGTCCATATATTAGTCTTAGTTTATACTTATCAAATAATGTATTATTTATCTTATTTTTTAAGTTTAACCTTTATTATAGCCTTCTTAAACCTAGAAGTAATGGTCTTAACCCTACTTCATGCTATTTTACTGTTCATAGAGGCTACTTAATTTCTTAGCCACTCTACATATTCACTAATTTTCTCTTCTTCCCTTGACCAAACTAAACTTATTAGTAAGGACAAATGCCATATATATAATGCAAAATACTTAAGAAAATCCTATTACAAACCATTTTTTGAATTCCACATACATAAAAATACAAACTACAATGTTACATAGATTCTACATAGACATATGTATTTTGGGCAAAAAGACATTTGCATAAAGCTGGTAAATTTTTCTTGAGTGATGATCACACAATATAATTTTATTATTGCATTCATGTTAGGACTGACGATAGGGAGGCAAAACCCTCAAAACACTCAACCATTGCTCTATTCGAAATCTTTGAATGTCTAGATTCAAAATGCAAAATTGTTGAATCGTTCACAAATATTAATAGCTAGGAAGCACAATACTTTCTAATATTTTCATGTTTGCATCAGACATTGACATTATCTATGACAAGTTCCTGCACATATTTGGCACGGCCAATATTGTGTTGAAAGTCCTATTATTGTCCAATGTTATATCCTAACCCCATACATGACTAGCAAATGATAGACTTCTGAAACACTCATTATCAACCTCATATTGTGTCAATTAGGTAAATCTTTCATTCTTAAACAACTAATAATCATATGTTAGATGGTCTTTATTTATAAAAATAGTCCCATATTATAGAAAAACCATGCTCACAATCCTCTTTCTCAACACACTTTTTGTAGAGTGCTTCCTCTCATTTCAAGGTTTAACCTTAATCTTGTATTGAACTCAATAAACCAAACTAAGCCAAATAAAAAAACCATTTGTTTGATTTAAGCTTCATTTGGACGGCTTTCTTACTGCTTCTTGGAGCAAGCTTTCTAGTAAAAATATTAATTTGTACTAAAAAGCTGCTTCAAGAAGCAGTAAAAAAGCCGCGAAGCCTTAGTCTTAAATTCAAAGTGATTTTCGATGAAGCGGCTTGGGTAGGCATATCCCCGTCAAATCCTAGGAAGTCAGGGCTCATCAATAGTTCACACATCATAAATTCATGCAAATTGGGGCCACCTTATGTGAGGCAATCTCTCTCTCTCTCCACCTTTTTAACAAGGGCTAACAGACCTGGGAAGATCAACTCCGGTTAAAATTTAATCCATCACAAGCACAGTAGAATTAAGGTTGCAAAACTGGAAACAGAGAAGTTGGGTTGGTTTTGATATTGCTATAGGAACTACAAGATCTATTCAGTCAATAAAGTAAAGCAACTAGTTAGGTTTCCCCAACAAAAAAGTTCTAATCAACCTAGCAGAATGCAACAGTAGCTTTGAAAGATTATCCTAATTCATGCATTCCAACCAAGAATTAGTTCCACCAGAACCAAGCACTTTAAAATTGTATTCCATAATATAGACTTTAACCAAAGGAGTACACTTAAGTATTTCTTGTGATCTTTAAATCATTGTATGAGATACAATACATATCAATCATACCTGTAGATGATTAACTTACCCAAATAATTTGCTAAAAAACGCAAACTTGGGAACTGTTTGATTGATGATTATATACAGTTATTGCAAAGCCATAGTGCAAAAACCAGGGGAAAGAATAAGGTGTAGTTTGATATAAAAACCAAGAATAAACAAATTGTAAACTAAACATCTCACAGTGAAGGTTCGCTTGATAATTTGCTGTTCCCACCTGTACCAAATTTGCAAGGTTCTGAACACTCCGTAGAACACCACGAATCAGGAACTGTCAATAAGTATCTAGACAAGAATTTTCTGAACCTTTTCTTGTACTCTTTTGGGGAGATAATGGTTGGTAATGAATTTTTAGGAACAACCAGAGATGCCTTGACCCAGGTCTCAAGCTGCTTATCCCACGTATATTGTCTCAAATAATCAATAATACCAAATACCAGCCTCTGTTGTTTTCTGTCCACACCAACAAGCAGAGAATAATCCATGACATTGATTGCCTGCAAACATTTACAAGGTTTTCTTATAGATTAGTTTAAACTTTAAAAAGACCTGTTTTAGAAACGAGGAATATACTGACATTGAGGAAAGCTGTGTCATTCCAGATGGCTCGCTGCAAAAGCTGTTTAGTTTTTCCCCCAACATAGATTGGAGATAAGCGCATATCTTCCACAAAGTTCTGATCCAGAAGAACTTTCTCAGTGTCATTTACATCTGAAATGTATCTAGAAAAGACAGCACCTTTCAAATCATATGTGCGTGTCACATTGTGACCAAAGAGGAGATTTTCCATCACCATCAGATCAATCTTCACTTCCTTTCCACTTTTAGTTAGTCTAATCTATAATAGAGATTTCCAATTTCCAAATTAATTCACTAAAATAATATGAAGGTTTTATTAGTTCAGTACAAACTAAATGAATAGGTGATGCGATAGCAAACCTGATATATTCCCAGGATTTTTGCAAGACAAGTTTGACTACCTGTGCTTAGAGAGTGAGTAATATGCTTAAAATAATCTTGTGCAAATTTCAAGAAGGAATCAAGCTCGGCCCGCTTGATTTGCTTAATAATGAACCTGTCATCCATCGTTTTGGCAAAAAAGGCCTTGCTTTTTCCACCCTGAGCATCCCACTTCCTGCATCGGCTTAGTGAAGATATGTAAGCCTGTTCTGAAGGGCAACACATCCTTCGAAGAGCATAGAATTGCTTTGCATGGATACATACAACAGAATACTTCTTTGAGACTTCTTTCCCAATGCCTAGTGGGACTTCAGGATGAAGATTTTCAGAAGTTATCAAACGATCCATGGATAATCCACTTTCTAAAGCCAAGGCAGAAAATTCATCTGAGGAAAATGAAGAGAAGCTTCGTGAAAGATGCATTCCTACAGGATCAAAAGATGCATTAGATGACCAATGAGATGAAGTCACAGAACTCTCGGAGACAAGGTTAGATGTATTATCAATTTCTTTATCGGGCTCTAGTTTGCCTTCATATGAGTTCTTCATATCCATGGTTTCTAAGAAACAATTTTGGTCATCAGAGAGGGCCAATGCACAGGCAATAATGCTGGATATTTCATCCTCACTGACAGACAGGATCGTTCTACTAGTGCCAACAGGGTAGTACAACAAACCCCGTTCTTGGGGAAAGAACTGATGGATAGGGCTCAAATATTTTGGAGTGTAAGTACGGATGAATGAAAATTTATGCAAGTAACCACCATCTAGGTCTTTTTTCAATGCAATGCGGAGTTCAGAGAAAGGAATCCAAATCAAGCTTTCAGGGTCTTCAAAATCAGGAGAATCCTTGAACAGCCTAGCACTTGAAAGCTGTCCCTTCAACGCGGAAGCAAAAAATAATCCAATTCCACTAATCGCATTGTCATTCACCATCTCTAAGTCATATATATCACTATGTCCAGAACATTCTTCCTCATACTCTTTAGTCGAACTGATGTCAGGTGAAGTAGAAAGAGCTGAATTTTCAGAATCCAAATTTTGCCCCACAGTACTCGGTGCATTTTCTGCAGCAGATGGTTCAAAAGAGGCCGCTTCTATTGAAGCTTCCATCTCATCAAACCCTGAACTTTGGGAAATTTCAGCAGAGTTGTAGGCTGTATCAGTTTCTGGATAACAGTGATTTTGATTATTGTAACTGCTATCAGAAGTGGATTGCTGAACGTTAATGGGGGAATGATTTGGTATTCCAGATGTTATTTCACCAATTTCTATGCTGCCTTTCCCCATATATCTTTCATTTTCAGCATCCTGTGATCGGTCAAAGTCTTTACTGATTTGTGAAAACTGATGCAAACGACGATCCCAAATGAAAAGCACAAGAAGTAGCTCCTGATTGAACCAATTCAAGCCTAGAATTTCATTCACAGACTTCTCTTGTTGCCCGGAATAGTTGACAGATTTAAACAAAGCAGCCTATAGAATCCAAAAAAAAAAAAAAAGAAAATTTGACTAATCAGAAAGGGAAGATGGACTTGGTTCAGGAGAGCATTCTAAAGTATAGTTGTAAAACTGACCTTAAATTCAGCTTTTTCTTGAATTAACATATCTTCTGCTTCACATATGCTTTTTACAAAACCAGGAAAGTTCTTATATTGCTCAGAGAAAGGACCTGAACAACTCGTCTTCAAATTGCATAGGAAGTTCGCAACTTCTGAGAAAAATCTCTCTCCCCTTTGAAGCAACTTCGAAAAAAAAAAAACAAAGGTCAGTCGCTAATATTGAAAGCTAAATATCTTTCTCATCATCATCAGCCTTATCTTAACTATTTAGGACCTTGACCAAATTTATGAATACTCCTCCATATGGAAAGCTAAACATAACAAAAATACCAAGTTCTAAGAATTCTTACAGATTTTGCTTCTTGCACAACCCAATCTTGTTCACTTGGGATAGGAAACTCAAGTACTGGGGGTGGCTTACATGCATCATAAATTTCAACCGGTGAATATCTGAACATTGCAACTTTGGAGCCCAATCTGCACATTACCGGAATTTAAACGGTATATAAAGGTCACATGCAGAAAAATAGTGACTTGACTTGCAGAAACTCAAATAACTAATATGCTTACCCAAAAAAGCGAAGACAGTCCCTATGAAGTGAATGCCCACATTCAGAAGATAACCTACTTGCTGCAGAGTGGCTGGTAAAACTGAGCTCTAAGAACTTGCCAAAGGATAGACTACGAGCTGCAGTAGACATCACAACTCTCTTAGTTGATCTTGGGATCCCATTTTCATGCTCACATTTTAAGCATCGACTCCACATCCAAATTTTCCCCCCTGTTTCTCCTAATAAAGATGAAGTTGGAGGAAGCTGCCTAACTAGAACAGTAAGATTTCCATTTTGGTGGGTATAACAGTAAATATGAGCTTCTGGTGGTTCACCGCATGAAGAGCAGGCATGTTTCTGTTACCAAGTCAATTTTCATTAATTCTGTGTTAAATAGAAAAAAAAAACTCAAAATAATCCCCCAACTAATCGGACAAGGCCAATTTAGCCACAAAGTATCATATTTGGCCAATATAATTTCATGACTATAAAAAATTGATCATAAATGATCTTTGAGATAGAAATTAATGAAAATTGGCATATAAATATGATCCAAATTTAGTCCTTTGACTACATAAAATTGATCCCAATTTAATCGCCGACAAATCATTTGGAATCAATTTTGTATAGTCGAAAGCCTAAATTGAAAAAATATGTTACTCTAGGACTAAGTAGGCCACATTCGATTATTCCATAGACCATTTTGAGATTTTTTTTCTCTAAATTAATAATCAGACCAAGCAGAAGAGGCATAAACCTGGTTGAGTAAAACATCTTGAAGGTAGCGTCCAAGAGAGACATCAAAATTCCCGTAGTACTTTATGCGAGAAAGATGGCTCTGTTCACAAACAATCCCTTTTTCAATACATTGACTGGACAAAAGAACCAATATGCTCTCAGAGCTCAATACACCATCACTGTCATCCTTGCCTTCAGTTTCAATTTTGTTTGTAGTAACAGCATTAGAGTATTGAGCAGGTTCACTCGAAATTGACAAGGTCTCAGACCTTTCATAGTTTGGCATATCTTCCATGATGTTTTCATTTGCATCTATCCCATCATCCATAATCCCAGCAGATGAAGAAATAGGTAGGCCATTCAAAGTTGGATGATCATGTTCCTCATCTTTGAAAGCACAGAAGGATGAAATGGACTCGGATGCAAAAGGCCTCAATCTGTTGTCTGACAGTAAGTTCCTAAGAGAGGCTGAGAAAGATGACATTAGCTGCATAGAAAGATCAGAGGATGATAATGAGCTAGAATGATTCACAGTATTTTCATTGGATAAACTCCTGGGAAGATGTCCTTGCTTAAAGTTATCTTCACAAAAATCAATATTACCAACAAATCTAGGGTCATCTGAAGATATGCTCACATCAAGATGTGCAGTGTAAAACCCTTCATGAGCTGAATATTCCAAAAAGCCATTAGAAGCAGGAGTGTCGGACGAATTTGAGTATTGTGCAGCACCAACAACAATTTTTGGGACTGCTTTATCTGTTGATTCATCATTGCCTTCTGAACTATCTATGTTAGAGAACAGAGCTCTTTGATCAGCAAAAAATGATGTTTCCAGTATCAAATGATATGCTGCAAAGATGGTGTATTGAACAACTCGTTTAACTCTCTTTAGTTCATCAATATGAGCCCCTTTAAGCAATATCTGTAACATGACAAGTGCATTAAGACAATGCATAACGATGTGCTAAAGAGTATTAAATACATCTTTCCAAAGCATAAAAGATTTTGCACTTAATAGACAATATTAGCTGCCTTGTTAACACATTGAAGCGTTTAAATTAGTATTGAGACAAAGCATAAACATGCACTATACTCCACCGGGGAAGGGGGGGGGGGGAACCTTGTGGGGCCCAAGGGAGTTAATATTCACTCTATAAGGAGGAGAAATCAAGAGAGAAATAATTATGAATGTTTATTTAGGGAAAAATGATTGATTTGAATTTTGATTGAGAAAGAAATTAGGAAAAGTTTATTTAAAGAAAGATGGCTAATTTAAATTTAGATTTGGGAGAGAATTAAGAAGGTTTTATTTAGGGAAAGAGGACTGATTTAAATTTAGATTTGGGAGAGAATTAGGAAGGTTTTATTTAGAGAAAGAAGTCTGATTTGAATTCGGATTTTGGAGGGAATTAAGAATGTTTTATTAAGGGAAAGAGAGCTGCTTTGAATTTAGATTTGGGAGGGAAATATGATGATTTATTTAAGGGTAATTAGGTTGTTTTATTTTCATGATGTGATTTATGTTTGTTGTAATTTTTTTAGTAGTTGTTCCTATCGGCAATATAGGATTTGTGGGAGAGCTTATCTACCTCTCAAATAGTAGATCACTTGTATATTTCTTTCTAATTGAAGATATAATAAAAAAAAGCCCCTATCTTCGTATTCTTGCAGGTTCTACTTGTTTCTTTCGTTGTTTTTACTTCTAAGACGTATCAAATTGGTATCATAGCGAGGTTTGGGAGAGATGGTAGCAAAGGTGGATGCATTGGAAGTCAAATTGGAGCAAATCAAATCACGGATGGAGGAAAATTTCTCAACCATCGAAGAAAGGTTCTCAACCATGAAAAGAAGGCTTTCATCAATAGAAACTGATTAGGAAGGTTGGAGGAGATGATGAGGAAGCTCATGGAGATGTAATCCAAAACTCCACTGGCGGTTCCGATGACTAATACTAACCAAGATTTGACCAGGATTCCCTCGGCCAAATTGAAGGGAAAGGAGATCGTACAGGAGAAGATCAATAAAGAGAGTTTCTTTTATCAAGAGCCACCTCCTAGGGCTTCGATAAACGGCGGATCAGGGTTTCCAGATGTGGGGACAACAATGAGGAAAATTTTTGGTGGAGGTGGTAGGGTGGCCAACCATTATGAGAGGCATTTCGAGCAAAGGGAGTGGGCTATCGAAGAAGGACGCGGTCAAGAGACACCTCCTATGGCTCCGATAAGGGGCGGAATAAGGTTTTTAGATGGGGGACAACAGGAAGAGAGTTTCATGGTGGAGGTGGTGGGGTGGCCGACCACTATGGGGGGTCTTTTGAGCAAGGGGAGTGGAATACCAGAGGAGGCGGACAAGTAAAGCCATATAGATCGAGTCATGTGAGGCAGGTGGAGGAAAGGGGGGATTCCCACCCTCGATATGTGGGGAAACATGGAGGGATCATGACAACTGCTATACTGGAGGAAGAAGCTATTAGGACAGTAGTGATTCTAGGTGAGAAAGTTGAAGATGCGAATGATTGATGACAAGGAAGAGAAGCAACCCAGAATTTTCAACAAACAAATTGAAGAGGATTAAAAAATAATCATCTCAAGAAATAATCTTATTAAGCTGCCAATTCATTCTTAGCATCATGGGTTTAATACTTCAAGAGATACTTATTAGGTGAAAGGATTTGTCGGAGTACGAAGCCATATGAGATGATTAGGAGACCACTCCTATCTTCCAGCTTGAGGACAAAGTGTTTTTTCTTTTGTTGTTGTTGGTGGGGGGGGGGGGGGGGGGGGGTGTTTGGGGCGGGGGGATTGTGTGGCCCAGGAAGTACATATTTACTATATAAGGAGGAGAAATAATTAAGAAAGTTTATTTGGGGAAAGATGGCTAATTTGAATTTAGATTGGGAAGAAAATTAGGAAAGGCTTATTTAAGGAAAGACGACTGATTTAAATTCAAATTTGGGAGGGAATTAGGAAGATTTTATTCAGGAAAAGAAAACTGATTTGAATTCAAATTTGAGAGGGAATTAAGAAGATTTTATTAAGGGAAAGAGAGCTGATTTAAATTCAAATTTGGGAGGAAAATATGATTGTTTATTTAATGCCAATTATCTTGCTTTATTTTTATGATATATTTATTGTTATTGTAATTTTCTTAGGAGTTGTGCCTAACGGTATCTAGGGTATGAGGGAGAGCTGATCTACCTCTTGAATAGTAGATCACTTGTATCTTTCTTTCTTATTGAAGAGACAATAAAAAATTTGCCTCTATCTTTGTATTCCTGTAGTTTCTATGAGTTTATTTCGTTGTTTTTACTTCTAAGGCATATCACTTTAACAAGTAAACATTACATAAACTAGTGCACTCAACTCTTTTTAGAAACTACCTGCTTCATAAAGAATGAGGTTTGTGTTAGGTTATCACAAGTTTTGAATTGAAATTATCTTCAAACAACAACAACATGAAGCCTTTATCCCACTACGTGGGGTCAGCTACATGAATCCTTTTTCTCCATTGTGTTATGTTAAGAGTCAGATTCTCATTTAAATCTAATAAAGGTCATTTCTAATATTTTCTAGCCAAGTCTTTTTAGATCTACCTCTACCTTTCTTAACATAGGCCAAATCTAATACATCTACTCTCCTAATAGGGTCATCGAAAGGCCGCCATTTTACATGACCAAACCATCTAAGACGACTCTCTCTAATCTTATATGTCACTAGAGCTACTCCAACCTTTTCATGGATATGCTCGTTTCGTATCCTATCTCTAAGAGTAAATCCATTCATCCACCTAAGCATCCTCATCTCAGCAACACTTAAACTTAATATTATGCTTCTCTTTTAATGGCCAACATTCTGCGCCATAAAACATTGCAGGTCACACCACCATCTTATAAATTTTTCCCTTAAGTTTGAGTGGTATTTTCTATCACACAACAAACCTGAAGCATTCATCCACTTCAACCATCCAACTTGAATTCTACTAATAATATCCCCATCTATTTCACCATCACTTTGAACAATAGACCCAAGATATCTAAAATGAGTACACTTACTAATAAGTTGATCACTCAAAGTCACAAATCTCCCACTAGATATATTTCTACTAAAATTACACTCCATGTATTCGGTTTTAGATCTCCTTAAACGAAAACTTTTAAATTCTAAGTTTGACCTCCATAATTCGAGTTTACCTTCAACTCCCTCTCTAGTTTTATCAACAAGAACAATATCATCAGCAAAAAATATATACCAGGGTACATCCTCTTACAAATGCCTAGTAAGAACATCCATGACTAAAGCAAAGAGATAAGGGCTTAAGGTGATCCTTGATGTAATCCAACTGAAATAGGAAAATACTTGATCGAAACACCTTGTGTTTGAACACAAGTAATAGCTCCTGCATACATATCCCTAATGAATTGAATATAAGCATTATTAACCCCTTTCTTTTCTAGAACTCTCCATAGCACCTTATCATATGTTTTCTCTAAATCAATAAATATCATATGAAGATCCTCCTTATTCTCTCTAAACTTCTCCAACAACCCTCTCAATAAATAAATAGCTTCCATAGTAGACCTACCCGGCATGAATCCAAATTGATTTTGAGAAATATTATTATATTGTTGCAACCTATGCTCAATAACTCTCTCCCAAAGTTTTAAAGTATCACACATCAACTTAATTCCTCCATAATTCACACAATTTTGTGCATCACCTTTATTCTTAATTAGATTTCAATATTATAGTTATTGTCTTTCACTACACTAATTTGGTAATTCATAAGGGGTTTTATTGATCTTATAACAGTTGAAAAAACCATCAAGTCTCTCATACGGATCATGAACATTCTAAATTATTAAAAAAATTAACTATGTGAAATCTCCAGTAACTTGTAATATATGGCATATGGCTTTAGTTTAGTGCGCTTCCAAATCCTTTTTATAATAAATTCAGTTTGGCGTTGCAAAACATTTGGACATCAAATCATTCACACGTTGCTTAAAGTTCAAACCAATCTACTAAGCGGGGGCTATTTGTTTACCATTGTATTTCATACCACAGGCAATGGTGAAAGCCATATAAGGGCATGATTGTAGATATCCTCTAGTCAAATTATTAGTTAGCTTTCATGTTAGTTTTCCCTCAGTGAATTCACTGAACAATAACATATCAGGCATCTATACAAGTAGGAGAAAAAACCAACCGTTTGCTTGTTTCAAGCCAAAATTTATATTTTCTGCAAATTGTTATACAAGTGGAAGGTCCTTTCAGATACATAGGATTTAGCTTAACGCTTAGCATTGTTATCATTGAATGAACAAACGGAAAGACTCTGAAGCAATCTCGATTAGAACTTCTCCACTAATAACCCTAGCACCAAATCCCTTCTTGATGATTTCTGATGCGATCACGGCTCATCTCATTTAGATTTTTGGAGAGATGATGTATTCCCGTCTATTTTACCATAAAAGTTGATTCAATACTAAATAAACGAGAAAACTTAATCATGGATACTTGATCAATGATTTCTACTCAAAGGGTCTTGTCAACTGTACTTTTGACACTGAAAATGTTGTTCCATGCATGAATAAAAGAGCAGGGACTTGGGCTGTAAGGTATTTTTTGGTGGAAGAGAAAGAAAGAGTCAAGAATCTAAAGTGTTAAACATGACTAGAAGTGGCATATCAGTTTCAGTGGATTATCCTCTTTTCAACATGATTGACAAAACGATAACAATATTAGGAAGAACAACACAAACAAAATACTAACCGTGCATCCCAAGGGTTTGGAAAAACCCTCCAGAAACATCAAAGTTTTGCTTGTCCTTTTTCCAGCTTCAGTAGAACCGTTATGTTCTTCCGTTAACTTTTCAATATGGAATGAGTCACACTGCTTGATGTTTCGGTTAGTCAGAATGTTAGCAGAAGGAATAATCTGAGAACCAGTGCAGCGAGCGATTCTTTCTAAACGTGCAATTTTCATGTCAAATACCAAAGTCATTCCCTTAGCTAGCAGAAACTCTTGTATATCACGTGAGACGGATTTCTCCACCAAAACCAAATTCGGATGGCAAGCTTCTATCATTTCGTTGATTGACTTCAAGTGGTCTTTTTCCTACTTCCAATAAAGAAGTCCGGGTGAGGAAAAAAAAAGGCATTCCGTAAAGGAAATCAACAAAATCTAATTTGAATGATCTACCTGATCCATTGAATCAAATGATGACAACCCAAGCTCACTATGCCCGAGGACCCCTTTGACCAGTAGAAGCCTTGGATTTTTGAATTTCGTTGGCATGTGCTTGTGAGCAGCATTTTTCTTGAAAATTAAACCCTTGATCACCTGACTGTAGAATCAGTAACTTTTTGAGTACTTGAAAGGATGCCCATTTTTAATGATTAGGAGGCATAAGAAAGATAAAACTAGAAAGTAAAATCTTAAGAAAATGAACTCGAACATTACCTCTGACTGGGAGCACCAGTTGCAACACATTTTACTTTCACGTAGGATCCTGGATCCATAGCTCTTCCCTCCTTTGCATCAGGCTTAATAAAAAGTGCAGCTTCCCAGGATAAAGAAGTAACAATGTCAAGCCAGCCAAGATCATGGCCTTCATCAATAGAGGGAAGTCCTTCAGACGCCAAAAACCTACTTACAAGAATCTTAAATTGCCCATTCATTGCTGCCACCATTGCTTTTTGGCGTGCTTCCTTGTAGCTATTTCCATTAATTTTATCAAAATCTCCTAAAGAAGTAGATTGTCCCCATTTTGTGCCATCACTGTAGTCCTCATCGTCATCATCATCATTATTTGCAATACTATCCATATCATCTTCAATATTTGCTGCCTCTGGTGGCTTCCAAATAAGAGGATCTGTTTTCAAAAGAGATAATACTAATGAATTACTTCTTGAAATCCCGTTCTCAACCTTATCTAGATCATCCCCAGCCCTTGAGCCTACAGATAGTAGATCTCCTTGATTGTTGTCAACATGATGAAGCCTCTCATCTTTACCATTTTCATGACTTTCTAGAGCAAAGGCTCTTGATCTAAAAGTTTCTCCTGACAATGTGGCCTCCCCAATTCTATCCAATCCAGTTGCTAAATCAGAACTTGAGGCATCGAAAATCTCTGAAAAGACCTTACTTGCAGTCACTTCTCCATGTCTAGTAGATATTTTTGGTTGCTCGAGCTGAATATCTACAGTTTCATCTCCATTTTCCCTGCAAAGGCAACAATTTTAGGTATGCAAAGCATGCTGGCAAAGAAAAGTGTATGAATAAATAAAAGAAGAAAATGTAATATCACTTAGATTCAAATTGCCAGATGAGTCAAGAACAGTAGGTATACAAATTTATTCAAAAATGGTAGAAAAAACATTTTTCATCAACAAACACCAGAACTAAAGGCATAGATAACAAAAGATAGAAGTAGAATTGCCATTTACCTGACGTGAGAATTCATCTCAGATATTGAGTTGCCTAAATAAAGGAAATCAAGAAAAATGTGACATTAGAAAATCATAGTTACGCTCATTGGAAGAGCAACTGCTGTTTTTTTAAACAAAAAGCTAGAGAATAATTACCACAGTCAGAAGCAGAGATCAATGGATCCGGCGAAAGTCGTGCTGGAAAACTGCAGGTAGGAGTCTTAGGCTTAGTCTTAGCAATCAATTCAGTTGTTAAACGCTGATCCGTTACATACTTGTCCAACAGAAAAGCATGAGAGTACATTAGGTGCTTTATGTCTGTAGCTAATGTGTATTCTTTTTTGTCAAGATCAAGGCAGTAGGAAGTACTGTAGCTTTTACAATCAAACCCACAACCCAGTACTTTCTGCCCATCATTGCATGCATTACACATTGTAATCATCCAATCGCAATGAATATCGGAAGCTCGAAGAAATCAAAGACATTCAAATAGACAAGATTCCACTTCTTGTTACCAATATACAAGCAAAGCCCTGAAGATGCGAGAATGAATGAGCGTTAAGAAATTCACTAATATAACAGCACCTAAAGAGATAAGACACATTGGAATAGAACTGAATGCATTGTCACCTTGCTAAAAATTATGCCATCTCACTCTCAGTTTGAAAGCTTAAATTACTGACGCCTATAAGCCACAGACTAAAGCTCTGGCAGACAATCAGGAATTAAAAAGAAAGAACCCTATTATCATCTATAAAAATAACGGTCCCAAAAATGATTATATTTGTAAAGTTAAAGGTAAAACTTAAGGCACTATCTAGAGAATCATAATCATCATCACTAGCCTTATCCAAACTATTTTTTTCCGGCTTTATTAATCCTCATTTTTCATTCAAACATGTTGAGTATTATTTTTAAGTGTTAAACTTATTCATTACAAATAAATTGGAGCAACTTCTATACAAGTTACCTCAGGTGTACTCATCCTTTTTAATCATTCGATATTAATTTTATCCACTTATCTAAAGGGTGCAATTTTTTAGAGGTTTAGAACATAGGTTGTGGCGTGATACTAACGTTTCTCAAAATTAATTTGGATTCATGCCGAGTAGGTCTACCATGGAAGCTATACATTTATTGAGAGGTTTGATGGAGAAGTATAGAGAGAATAAGGAGGATCTACATATGATATTTATTGATTTAGAGAAAGCATATGATAAAGTTCCAAGAGAAGTGTTATGGAGAGTTCTAGAAAAGAAAGGGGTTAATAATGCTTATATTCAAGTCATTAATGATATATATGCAGTAGCTATTACTTGTGTTTAGACACAAAGTGGTTTGACCAAGTATTTTCTTATTTCAATTGGATTACATCAAGGATCAACCACAAGCCCATATGTTTTTGCTTTAGTCATGGATGTTCTCATTAAACATTTGCAAGAGGTTGTACCCTGGTGTATGATTTTTACTGATGATATTCTTCTTTTTGATAAGACTAGAGAGGGAGTTAAAGGTAAACTTGAATTATGGAGGTCAACATTAAAGTCTAACAGCTTTAGTTTTAGTAGATCTAAAAATGAATATATGGAGTGCAATTTTAGTAATTAGAGTTCTAGTGGGGGGATTGTGACTTTGGGTGATCAAGTCATTAATAAGAGTACATGGTTTAGATATTTTGAATCTATTGTTCAGACTGATGGTGAAATAGATAAGGATATTATTAGTAGAATTCAAGTTGGATGGTTGAAGTGGAGGAATGCATCGAGCTTGTTGTGTGATAGAAAAGTCCCCCTCAAACTTAAGAAAAACTTTTATAAGATGGTGGTTAGACCTGCAATGCTTTATGGTGCAGAATGTTGGCCATTAAAAGAGAAGAATAAAATTAAGTGTTGCAAAGATGAGGATGCTTAGGTGGATGAGTGAAAAGGATGAAGTAGCTCCAGTGAAAGATAAGATTAGAGAGAGTTATCTTAGATGGTTTGGTCACATAAAACGGCAGCCTTCCGATGATCCGGTTAGGAAAGTAGATGTCTTAGATTTGACTTATGTTAAGAAAGGTAGAGGCAGACCTAAAAAGACTTGGTTAGAAAATATTAGAAATGACCTTTTCTTTATTAGTAAATGAGAATTTAACTTTTGACAAGGCACAATGAAGAAAAAGGATTCATGTAGCCGACACCACATAGTGGGATAAAGGCTTGATGTTGTTGTTGTTGTTGTATCTAATTGGTGCATTTTTTAACCCTCATTGTGCACATCCAAATCATCTAAGTATATTATAAATTACCTTATCTTTAATAAATATCACTCAAATTATTCCTTTAATAATACACTCATTAATTTATCCTTCCTAGTTTTATCACACATTCATATTAATATTTTCATTTTTATCACACTCAACTTAAATATTAATGAATTTTCTACCATCCAAAATTATAATCCACAGAACAATTCTAGCTTATTGCATATTTATAATTTATTTATCTTTTGGGTTGTTAGCTTGCAAGTTTTAGCTAAGATTTCAACTTGTCAAACAGTTTTTTGAGTCACATAAATCTTGTTATATCTTAAATCAGCTTCCTCCCATTTAAGTCATATCCTGAATTTTCTAAATTCTGGAGAAAATAAGATTTAAGAGATTTACACCACTTAACTTCACGGTGCCTCTCTTTCTCCTTCATTTAAACATTGATAATTATTTGCCAAACTTACTAGGATTTAACCAAATGTAAGATATATCATGTCAACCAATTTTCAAGATTTAATGCCTTTAGGAATTACTAAATCCTACTTGTAGCCAAATAACTCCTATAAGTTTCCATAATATCCCTCAATTGCATGATACTCCAAAGCCATTAGATGGCTGGATGGAAAGGAAATGAAAATTGGTTAAGAAAATCAAACAAGCACTGCATAATCTTGATTAGGCTAAAAAATTAATGAATTCCCTTTATCCTACCTGTTTGCTATCTTTCAATATAAACACAGCCTAAACATTTCCACTTCAAATAAGAGCACCAAAAAAAAAATTTATTAAACCCACACAATCAAAATTGATAGATGTTGGGAAGCTACCTGAAAATAGTAATAAACTAACTAATATGCAAGAGCACAATGAGTTATTAGCATATTCTATGTCATATTCCTTCCCAAATTAGGTTTCATTCAAAGAAATAATGCGCATAAATTCATATAAAGAGATCATTTCTTCTAAAAAATCGCTAAGAACATAAAGAAGCAATGCCACATTCGAGACGAACAGAATTTCCCCCAAAAACTTACTCAAAGCAAACATCTTTGAGAGAATGTCAACTCATCCCAAAGCTATAGCTCTTTACTCAGAAATCCAAAACAGTCTGCGTAGAATAAATGGAAACCGAGGTCAAACTTGCCAAATCACTCACAAAAAGATCTTCCAACAAATTCAAACAAAAAGGTGATAAAACATAACAACGGATCGTCAGTTCACAGGCAAAACTCACTGCAAATACCTAAACCACGCCGGACAAAGATCCATCCAGCATCAGACCCAGGCGGGTGAAAAAAGCCCAAAAAAACTTTGAGCAGCTAGCCCATCATCACCCAAAGCTTTCAATCAAATCTAGAAAGTTCATGAAGAAATAGAATAGAAAGAGAGAAACTTGCCGCCAAGCATAACTTAGAAGGCGATGAAACCAAAAAAAAAAAGTAGATCCAGAAATCAAGCCATGAAAACCCCAGCTCACAGCCAGAACACATAACCAAAGTATCGTTACAAACCCAAAAACAGCACCAAATAGACAAATCCGCCGATCAACATCAAACCCCCAATCCTTACCATCCTAATTCCCAAGAACAATAGAAGTTCACAACCCAAACGAAACAGTAAAAGGCACACCTACCCACCTGACGTAGACCAAAGCATCTCCAGCAGCCGTAGCAGCGAGCCTACAGCTGCATCGCTCTCGAACCGTCAACACCTTCTCCGATCTCACAAAAAATACCACACAACTTAACAAACTACAAGCAGAAGAAACCAAGACGCCAGAGAGCACGGACGGCGAGAAGAAGGAAAGAAAATGAGAAAAGAAAAGCAAAGGTCAGAGCTTGCAGCTTAATAGGATTTTTCTACCGTGTGCAGATGGAAAAAAGGGGGCAGTTTTGGATTGAAAAGCGATGTTGACGAAGACTGTTTGAATATTTTCGTCGGACACCTGAATTCCCTATTGGACTACTGTCGCCGGCGCGATTCTAACCGTCGGATAGATAGCTGAGACAGAAGAATCTGCCGTTTGAAGTTTCGAGTAGATGAATGTGAAAGGAAAGAAAGTTTTTTTTTTTTATTAATTTAATAAAATAAAAATGGCTTATTGAGGTAAAATTATAAATATTTGCTGGTGGAAGTAATCAATTAGACAGTTGGGAATATTTATAATAATAAATTACAGATTTAATGAGGACTTAATTAATTTGACCAATCTAACCAGCTATTTGATTAAAGGGTTGTTTAGTTACAAGTTCCATTAGAAAAATATGAAATTATTTAGACCTATCAATCCTCTCATCTCTTTTAATTTTTTTTTTAAGTTTTAATGCTATTTTTTTTATTGCTAGAGTCATGTTGTCTTTAAAATTTTAGCTTCGTTTGGGATAGCTTTCGTACTGCTTTTTAAAATGATTTTTAATATAATAATAATTAACATGATATATCATAATAAAGAATACAATAATATTTGTTATCATCAAAATTACAGGACTTTGATCCAAATTTACAATAACCTCATTTACAAATAGAGCTCATATTCAGTTATTTATATTTGCACCTCTATGGTTGACTAATCATTACAGACTAATCTACAAATCTCCTTGTTGCTATTTACCTTCACAGTGCTTCAGTGTTTCGTTAGCTGATTCCCAGACTGAGAGGGATCACTCTCACTTTACTTTTCAGGTCAGGCTAAATACTGATTGCTACATATTTTATTAGCATGAGATCTGGTTATGTTTGTTATAGATGATACGACTCAATGATATTTGAGAGATATAATCATAACTGGGCATCAAGACAATTTGGACTGGTTCAAACCACTCCTTTATACAAATTACAAGCCATTCCTTGGATAGTTGACACACGTCAAGTGGGTTCCCTTTCATTGTCAGTGCGTTTGAAGGCAGCTTCCATAACCTGGGCATTTCTTCTTCACCTTGGGACAGGTTCTCGATTCTATATTCCTCATATGGATGCTCCAACATGCATTTCACATCTATGATTTTCTTAAATTCGACACACTTTTTCTTCTTTATTTGAGTTGGGGATCCGAGCATATAATAGATATATTAGAGATCAGAGACCATCGAGGTAGACTTTGGTGCCTCATAGTCATATAGTTGTACATAGGAAGAATTCTAGATTTGATGATAGAAGGATGAAAAGGAATCCTAAGCCTACTTTCAGACATGGTGGCCCAAGTATGTGGTGTATATTATTTTTGCTTATGATTTTGTCTTTCATGTGATCTAATATGCAAATGTTGAAGCATATAGAGATAGACTGATCTCCCCTTCTACTGATAGGGGTCACCCTAACCATTGGGTCTTGCACGACATTCCATGTTAAATCATCTTTATTTATGTATATTGATTTCATATTTTTCCTATATTTAGATTTTCATAACTCAATTTATCTTGTCATTGAAGTATCCAGACATATCCCTATTGACCTACCATATTCTCCTATTTTGGAGCTAGTTACTTTGCATACTCCACCCAGTTTTCCTTTTCCTATTTTCTTACTATACAACGATACCAATTTTAGCCCAGTACTAAGTATTGACATGTATATTTTTTTTATTTATTCCTTCAATTCTTCAATATGTTTATGCTTCAGATGTATAGCCTGAGTCTACACTGGGTGGCTTGATTGTAGAAGGTTATCTGATTATTGAGGATGCACCTTATGATATTGGAGGTTAACATATATATCCTCCTGCTTATTATTTTTATTCACTAACATTTTCTCTTTTCACTTTTTTTTTTATGTGTATACATACAGGTGAACGGTCATCATTACCTCAGCTTGAACACAATGATTTTAAACATATAATATATGAGAGTAATGATGATGATACTATACATAATTGGCTATTTTACATTTTACCTTCTCATATTCATCCTAGATGATTGTAGATGATTTATCAAAAAGATCCTCACTATACATCACTTCTCACTTAGATGACCACAGTTTGGCAGATTTGTCAGATGAGACCCACCCTTCAGATATTTTTTATCTTTCTTTGGTAGTTTTGCATTTCTTTTCTTATCCTAACCTTTTCTAGTAGCTATAATGTGTTTTACATTCAGGTTCAGAGCTAGCATGTTTTGTATCCAGAGTACCCTCTCGAGATCACATATATTTTTATAGATGGCTATCGAGTAGAGCTTATCAAATTGTTACTACACTATGACATCTACTACTAGGAGTGGACCTTAATGATTTGTTATTTCTAGATTTAACTAGTTTATGCTTGGAAGCTAGTTTGTTCTTGAACTGTGCTGCGACTTCTAGACTTCAGGATGCTATTTTAGAGACATGGGAGTATCTTTGTCGTGTTGTTATATTTACACTTTGTCATGCACGATTTAGCATTGGAGTTCCTAATAGCTTGGAGGATGGAGTAAGAGGTGCCGGGGACAGCATAAGGAAAGCCTGTATGGATCATGAATTTGGCCTTCAGACTTTAAGGTGCTGTCAGGAGGATATTTCAGAGGAGAAGCTTGAGCTTTTGGATATATCAACTGAGCTCAAGGATTTGAGAAAACGAGAGAGGTCTCTTTTGGAGAGATGATGAGAGCTTCAAGAAGCAGCCGCTTTTGCTGAGGAGGACTTCGCATGGATAGCTATTAAGGTTGAGAAATCAGAGAAATATTTTTTGTCATCTATTGAGGAGTTTGACTTATTGGATCATCAGTTGGGGAGTACTCAAGCTAGGACAATGATGCTACAGGATCGCTTGCTTAGAGTTAGATAGCAGATAGGCGACATTCAGTTCAGAATTTAATAGCTTCTCTAGCTCCATTTTGGTATGTACATGTGTATATTACATATTTTACACATGTATTTTTGCATTTTCTTCTCTCTTGTTTTCTTTTATGGGCATGTTTTAGACTTTTAGTTTTTATATTTGATTAAAATGTGCTTGACCCTTTAGTTTTGTGGGCACATAGAGTGTTTAGAAGTCTGGTCTTTTAGACTTGTTAAACTTATATTTATTCTTCAACCAGTTAAACAGGTTGATGAAAATAGCTCAACTCTTAGGTTTATATTCATGTAAATTTTGTAAGATTCAACCCTTAAGCATGTATTTCATTTCAATAATTTAGGTTAATGAAAACAGCTCGACCCTTAGGTGTGTGAGCATAACATATTTTAAAGGTTCAGCCCTTATGCTTATTAAATAAATGGATTTTAGCTCGACCATTAGGTTTGTGGGAATAAAAGAGTTTAAAGGTTCAGTCTTTAGACTTGTTGAATCATTGGAGTTTAGCTCGACACTTATGTTTGTGAGCAAGAAAGATTTTTAGAGATTCGATCCTCAGACTTGTTGAGCATGTATTTCGTTTCAATCATTTAGTGTAATTTCATGCAATAATTCAGACATTTTAGTGTAGTTTCATATAAAATAATCTTTATATTTGAGAAGTAACATTTTCAGCTCTTTCGTTTTGTCCTGTGGGAGATTAGCACTGAGAAATGTAGGATTGGGATCTTCTCCAGTACCCAAGTTTATTTCTTTGAGCTCATCTACAGCAACTTGTCCACCTTCTTCAAACTCTTTTGGAGATTCTTTTATATTTGCAATCAAATCTTCAGTTTGATTTTCATACTTGGGTGATTCCTCATTTTTGTATGTAATGTTGTAAATCATGGCTCGAGTGAGATATGGATGTCAAGGATATACTATTCCCCACCTTGTATACAAACCTATGACAATAGGTTTTTGTGTATATTCATTATACCATAGATTTTTGAAATAATATGCTTCTGAGTTTGTTTGCACAAAGATGATATTCTTTCAATCAACCTTCATATTATAAGTGTAGGTATTGAGGAATAATGAGCATCATTTCTTCTTCTTCCTATTCTCATTCTATTTCATGTGATATATATATTCCAATATCACTTTTGATTTGTGAAAAGCGATACCACATTCATGTTCTTTCCTTGGAGGAACGTAATAAGTCTTCAGCACTTTTATACTTGTACTTGACGATATAGTCAATGTTTTAAAATGTGCCACATGCATGGGTACTATTTTGATAATACTTGTGGACATCTAACGCTTGGATGTCCTTATCATTGAAACTGAAATATTCCTTAAATTTTAGTTTAGGAACTGGCATCTATGTCTTCTTTATTCTAAAGTTCTATAGTACCATTAGGTTGATAAAGAAATTCCTCTTCTTCTTCAATGCATAGTTTACTCGAAGAGTTACATAGTACCATATTTGCATAATCAGCTTCATAATCAAAAGGGAAGCTTGATAATTCACTTTTTGATTTTCCTTTACTCAAAGGTTTAAGGGTTTCAAAGATATCAACCTCTTTTTCAAAATCAATGTCGAGATGAGGCATTAATTTAATATATTTTATTTTATTCTTTCCTTTATATTTTGACTTTTCTTTATCATTCATAATATCCTGGATTTTGGGAAGAACATTATTCTTTAACTTTTGTGTTACAAATTAATTGGCATCATCATAGATTTTCACTTTGTGTCATGAGAACGGTTGCTCATTACCATCGATACGATGTTCTTCGCCATCTCAGTTGTACTTCATGCACTGATGAAGTGTCGAAGGCACTATACCCTATTCATGGATTCATGACCTTCCAAGAAGTGCTTTATAAAACATGTTAGAATCAATTACATGAAAAATTGCCTCTGTTTAGAGCTTTCTGAAGTTTAGGGGTAATACTACATATCTCAGCATTCTTTGCCCTTGTTTGTTAAATCCTTACAGAAAGGTCATACTTTTGGTCAAATATTAGACATCCATAACTAATTCTTTGAGCATTTTAAGGCTCATCAGATTAACAGAGGAACCTAGATCACTTATAATTCTATTTATTTCGATATTGTTACTCTCCGCAGTAACATAAAGGGG